TTTCCTAGTGATACTGCCTCAGAGACCCAAGGAGGGATCTCTATGACTTGGATGTGACTCAATGGCAATGAGTTTTTCTTTCCTTGGTCCTTAATACATTTTTCTCTTCTGTAATTTATTTCAACTCAAGCATGTCTAGTTCAGGTAAGTTTTATGGGTCAGGTGAGTAGGATGAAATATTCATAACTTAAAGATTAAATATTGTACTTATAGTGAAATTAAGCAAACTTTTCCATTCTATTTTAATTTATTGCAACTGTGCCTTATAGCAATAAAATTTAGAAATTCATTCAGTAGAGTAACCCATAGTACTTTAGCTTAGAATTAAAATAAAGCATTTGCTTACTATTCTGTCTGAAAAAAAAAATTACTTTGATAAAACAGTGTATAGAAATTTATCTTAATTTTGAAGTAAAAAAATATATATATATAGAACAAAGACTTGAAGAAACTACAGCAATATATAAATGTTGGCTTTCTCTGGGTAATGGCATAAGTGATTTGCATTTCCCTCCTTGCATGTTTATCTGTTTTTCAAAAATTTCTGCAATGAGTATGTATTATTGTGAGGATCAGAAAAAGGAAAAAAAAAATTAAGCTAATGATATTAATTCTATATTTTAGTAATCAACTTAAATTTTCTATGCAATATTTGATTCAAATATACGAACTTACCAGTGTTACTCCTTCATCATTTTTCTCATTAACATTTCCTCCAGATGATAAGAAGTGTTTGACATCTGATAACATACTCATTGGTCTCTGAAGCTTCATCTGGCGCAGTGAAGTCAGATCCACTCCTAGCAGGGAGAAAGTCTTTTAAGTAGAATTGTAGAGATGTTTTCAGCTACTAGGGATCAAGAATGTACTTTTCTTATATACTTTTTCAATATATTCCTTTTCATGGCCTCTCTTCACTATGACTGTGATCTTTTTTTTTTTCCAATTAGGTTATAGTCTTTAAAGCACGTGAACATTTTCTCTCATTGTATTCCAAAGACTCTAATACAGGACCTTATACATGGAAGGCTCTCAAGGAGTATTTGACTTAGAGTAGATCATCAACACACATTATCTAAAATATTTTAAAGCACTTTAATTGAAGCCAATTATTAAGTTATAGTATCTGTTCTCTACCATTTTCTGGCCAAAAGTATTACTTCTAAACAAAGACTACAAGAATAGAAAAAGGATGTTAGTGGAAGGAAATTCTAATAAAATCTATAGTTTACTTTACTTAATAGTATTGGACCAGTGTTTCTTAGTTTTTATAAATGTACCATGGTTATATAAATTGTTAGGATTAGGGGAAGTTTAGTGAAGGCTATATGGAACTATCTTTGCAAATTTTCTGAGCGTCAAAATTATTTCCAAATAAAATGCATTTTTTTAAAGGGATGTTCCTATTCAACATTTCTGCATTATCAATGTTGATAGAGATAAATAAACTAAATGAGTGAAAAACCCATTGTCTGACTTGGCTGGTGCACAGAGGGGTCATGTCAGCTTACCTTCTGTTTATACCTCCATTCAGCACTGAGTTCAACCTGAGCTTATATGAGAGTATAATCTCCATGATGGCTTGCATCTTTTCATCAATGCATCCTCCATTCCTAGGACTGACTCCTGGTCATAATAGGTATTACCTACCAATCCATTTTCCTCCCCGTGGAAATAATAATAATAAAGATAAGGGTAATATTTTCCTCTAAGCAAGTGTTTGCTATGAACTAGCTAGGTTATCTCTTACCTAATTTAGTCCTTCTACAAAGCATGGCATAGGTGATCCAAAGCACACACTCTGAAGTGATGCTCTTGTTTGTGATGGTCTGGGTTTTACTTTCCCAGATGTTGACCTTACAGTAGTTATTTAACCTTTCTGACTTCAATTTCCTCAATCGTTCAGACTAACCCTAAAGGGGTGAAGCTGTAGCTAATATTTATTGAGATCTCTCTATATGACAGTCTCCAAATTAAGTATGTTACATAGATGTCATCATTTTATTTTCCCCTCTCTTGCAGCACACCATGTCTGCCTTACTCCACAGCTTATTCTTTGGACTTCTACAAGCAATAGAGCATAGAAAGTCAGGAGGCAACCTGCTAGGGTTTTAATGTTATGCCTATTGAGAGCTCTGGTAGCATAGTGCCTATGGCAATTGACTGCTAACCAGAAGGCTGGTGGTTCAAACCCACTAGCCACTCCTTGGAAGGAAGATGGGGCAATCTACTTCTGTAGTGATACTGCCTCGGAAACCCAAGGAGGGGTCACTATGAGTCGGGTCTGACTCAAGAGCACATAACAACAACAACAACAACAACATTGCTTATTATTTGTGTTAATCTGGGCAGGTAAAATATTATCTGCCTCAGTTTCTTCATCTGCAAAGTGGAGCTAATAACTCTTGCTTCATGGATTGTTATGAGAATAACATACTTAAATTTGTTAAATACCTAAAGCATATAAAACAGTACTTAACTTGGGGTAAGCACCTAATAAAGAGACATGTCACTATTAGCCTTCTGGCACATGGATTATAAGCCATTCATTGTGGTGTATTTTTCTTGACAAAAAGGAGGCAATGAAAACCAAAAAGAATAAAGGAAAATCCAATAATCAGATAATGTAGTTTATTTCAAATTCTCTGTTCAGAGCTAACACATTTTAGAAGCATGAAATAGGAATACACTTAACCATACCTTGTAGTCTCTGAGTGAAAAATATGAGGTTGCCATGAGTTAGAATTGACTCTGTGGTAACCAGTATTCAGCATACCTCAGCTTCTGAATTGCCATGTGCCATTTCAGAAGAACTAAAAGATTTCCCTAACAGGGCATAGAAGTTTGTTATAAGCCAACTCAAAAAAACCAAACTCACTGCTGTCAAGTCTGATTCAATTCACAGCGACCCCTCCTTGGGTTTCTCAGACAGTATCACTATGGAAATAGATTGGCCAATCTTCCTTCTGAGGTGTGGCTGATGAATTTGAACCACCAGCCTTCTGGTTTGCAGCCAAACGCCTTAGGCACTATGCTACCAAAGTTCCCTATAAGCCAACTAGCCAACTAAAATTGCCACTTTGTGCTTATTTTCTAGAATAATTAAGTTGATTTGTGATTTAATTTTGGGAAATATTATTTCTCATGTATCAGCATTCAGTTTTGCATGTTAAAGTAGAAGAAGCTGAATTTACCTAATTTGTTAATTTTGATAATGTTTCAAAAGTACTCAGAGGATACCACTTTATTATTATTATTATTATTATTATTATTTACTGAAGTTATATGTATCTTTTAAAGGTGTATTTAAGCAAATATTTAAAACTGAATAATAAAACAAAATAGAACCCAAAAATGAAAGACACTGGTATTAAATAAAGATATCATTCATCCAAGACTCATTAACAGCACAACAGGTTATGAAGAAACAATCTACTTCTGGTCTGTGTTGTAAGAAATAACATGATATCATATCTGATCATTTAAAAATTATTTTGAATTAAATATTAAGCAAAAAATGTTTTTTAGATTTTTGTATATTCTTAAAAGAAATACAAGTCTATTTTAGTAATATACTACAGCAGAAATTCCCTCTTTTATTGGCCCAACATTTTGGTATAACATTTCCTGCATAAAACTAACCAGATGGCTATACTCATATGAATTTCTGCATATAGATCAGAAAGCAGTTTTCAAATGGAATAGGGAAATACTGTATGGCTTAAAATCAGAAAAGATATGTGTCAGGGTTGTATCCTTTCACCACACTTATTTAATCTGTATGCTGAGGAAATAATCCAAAAAGATGGACTATATTGAGAAGAATGTGGCAATGAGATTACAGGCAGACTAAATAACAAGCTGTGATATGTAGATGACACAACCTTGCTTGCTGAAACTGAAAAAAGACAGGAAACACTAACTGATAAAGATCAAAGATTACAGCCTTTAGAATGGATTATACCTCAACATAAATAAAAAAGCAAAAATCCTGACAACTGGACCAATACATAACATGATAAATGGAGAAAAGATTGAAGTTGTCAAGTACTTCATTTCATTTGGATCTACAATCAATACCCATGGAAATAATGATCAAGAAATCTGAGGACATATTGTATTGGGCAAATATGCCTCAAAGACCTCTTAGAGTGTTGAAAAGGAAAGATGTAACTTAGATGACTAAGGCACATGTGACCCAAGCCATGGTATTTTCAATCACCTCATATGCATATGAAAGTAAGGCAATGGAAAAGGAAGACAGGAGAAGAACTGATTCATTTGAATTATGGTGTGTTGTGTTGTTGTTGTTGTTGTTATGTGCCATTGAGTCGGACCCAACTCATAGCAACCACTCCTTGGGTTGCCAAGGCAGTATCATTATGGAAGTAGATTGCCCAACCTTCCTTCTGAGGAGTGGCTGGTGGGTTTGAACCGCCAGACTTCTGGTCAGCAGTCAAGTGCCTTAGGCACTATGCTAG